CAAACTAATAATTAAAAAATATAACTAAAGATTTCCTCAAGATGTTTTCTTTAACATTTGTCAGTGATATCTAAACGCACTTAGAAAGAAGATGTGTGGGAGAGTCAAGCTTCGGCACGAATGGGTCTGCTCGACCGGAGTTATACCACGGCCTCACAGAAAACCGGCGTGACACAACCACAGCGTTGTGTTTCGTCGTGTGAGTGAGGTTACTGGAAGCCCAATACTTCCCCTCCCCCAATCCTTAAATCTCCAAATACCTAATCTCCAAAAGGTCGGCAACGCACTCCTAACTTCTCTGTGACGTGTGTCCATGGGCGGCGCTGATTGCTTACTATCAGGTAATCCGTCTACTAGCTTGCCGACCTACTACATAAAAAAAATCTAAGAAAAAGTCACATTGGTACGACCTTTTGAGGATATCACAAAACAATATTAATAACATAACAAAAACTAACTAAAATTCGCGGGTTACTCACGTGTAAATGTTGAGAAAAGCTCTACTAGTTTCAAACCACAGAGGGGTTCTTCCTCATGAGCAGCGTGCGCGGACGCGGCGATGTCGCGCAAACTACTGAGTCAACATTTACACGTGAGTAACCCGCGAATTTTAGTTAATTTAGTATGTCTCACGATAGTTATTATAAAAACATAACAAAAACTATGTATTATATGACATAACTAGACATATTTAATAGTGTATCATTCACTGTATCTGTGGATAATTAGCTTTGACACACAGACACCGTAATATCATTAGTTATACATAGATTTGATTGATGTTCGTGGGAAATCGATGACTTTTTATCCATATTTCATACAATGACAAAAAACGAATTGAATTTATATGTAGTAAGTAAATAACATTTTAAATTTACTCAGAGCAGATTTTTCAATAGTCAGATAAATGTTATCTGAGGAATGAAATTGTTGCTGTCACTGTCTTATACAAGGGTTTTTTAGTCATAACCAAGTGCTTGACTGCAATCAATCCCACCTGATGGTAAGCATTGATGCATTTGTACCTTGCGATTCAGGGTTGTGTGTGCAAGAGCAATAACGTGCCGCAGCCATGGCCTGGAGCAGGAGGAGCAACGAGGTCATTTTTAGTCAGTAAAATGCTGACACTTATCAAGAAAATGTTAAATTATTTTCCAAAATAAAAACATTTACTTTTTTATTACCTACTAGCTGCCCGCCCCCGCTTCGCAAGGTTCCAACTATCTCGCTATCAAAGGGTCACTTTTTCTTAATCTGCCCATCTATTTTTCTAATATTTTCTTTGATAAGAACCTTCTCCTGACAAAAACACAACAAAAAAAGAATTAGCAAAATTGGTCCAGGCGTGGTTGAGTTATGCGCTTACCAACACATTTTGCGATCCATTTTTAAATAGGTATAAAGAAGATTTACAAAAATAAATTCGCTTATCAATTGTTTAAAAAGGAAACAGAATCTACATTCTTATTAGGGCTGATTTTTCAAAAGGCAGATAAATGTTATCTGATGAATAAAATTGTTGCTGTCACTGTCTTATACAAACATTCTGACGCGACAGCATCATAATAATTATTCCCCAGGTAACTTTTATCTAACCATTGAAAAATCAGTCCTTATCCTTCTATTCTTACAGTCAAAAATAATCGGTATAATAACTTAAACTATTATTATATATTATATAACAAAAACGTACTTACATACGAATACAATACTGTTCTAGCTAACTTCAGCGCGCAGAGAAAGTGGGTAGGCAGCGGTGCATGACCAGTAATGTTGCACGTCATACAAACGACCTTCAGTTTTAATTGATGTGTTTCATTCGCTAATTAACATTTTACGATTATTAATTGGACATTGATAGTTATTGTAACTCTTTAAGGTGGAGGTAGGAAAAAATATTAATCGGGAGACCCATTTTTTTAAGAATATTTTGCTCCACACTATGTTTTTCTCCTGTGTCGTGGGTGCGTTTACAAACATACAATTCCATAAACACATGACACCCAGACCCGGAACAACAATTTGTGGATCACACAGAGCTTATTCAGTGGAAATCGAACTCGCGACAAAAAAACAAGGATTCGATTTTCGGGTCAGACGGAATTCATATTTTATGTATAACCTGTAGCAGCGGGACAGTCGCCGCGTCGCGTATCGCGGAATACTGCTCATGAATATGGGCCTCTAGCACGGCTTGAAACTAGTCGAGTATCTCGTCAAATTATTACGTGAGTAAGCCGAAAATATAATAATTAATTTACCAATAATACCGTTAATAATACTGTGAATGTTAATTAATAAAGATAATTAAATAATAAAACAGATTATAAAATAAAACACAAAATGGTTGACGCGGTGACTCAGCAACTGGCTGTTGTGTAAAGTAGCGCAGGTTCGATTCCCGCACGGAACAATTCTTTGTGTGAAACCAAAATTATTGTTCCACGTCTGGGTGTGATGTGTATGTGAAATTATATGTTTATATGTATACTTATGACACAGTAGAAAACCCTAGTGTAAAGCAATGTTTTATCAAAATGCAAAAAAACTCCCACAAATCTGTGTACATGGTAGGGTCTATAGATATGTATATATGTATATGTTAGTATGTATGTATGTATGTATCTCAAGAATGCAATCCTAGGACGTTCACCTTGGATTGTCCTTGCTTACTTGATAAAAGGTAAAAGTACATGTTGTTGCAAACTGGACGAGTTGAATCAACACTTAAATGTGGGAGAGCCATGCTTCGGCACGAAAGGGTCGGCTCGACTGGAGTGATACCACGGCCTCACAGAAAACCGGCGTGAAACAATAACAGCGTTGTGTTTCGCCGTGTGAGTGAGGTTACCAGAGGCCCAATCGTTCTATCCCCCCCTCAATCTCTAAATCTCCAAAACCTTATACCCCAAAAGACCGCCGACGCACTCGTGACTCCTGTGGCGTTGTGGGTGTTCATGGACGGTGGAGGTTGCTTAACATCAAGCAATCCGTCAGCTCCATCAGCCTCTAATCATTAGCTCACTGCTTAATACAGGCGTTTTTACACACGGAGAAGGTTTTAGCATTTATCACCACGCCTGCTCAAGGCGGATTGCCGATTTCAAACTTATAATTAGAAATTATAAGTCCAGGTTTCCTCACGATGTTTTCCTTCACCGTATGTCAGTGGTGTCTTAATAATCATAGAAAGTACATAATAACTCGGAAAAAGTCACATTGGTATTTGCAAGGTTACGAACCCACACCCTCATCGAGAGATGATCTCCGGCCACCGTAAACGCGGGTCTGCGGTCGGCGAGTAAGGGTAGCTCGCCGCCCGACCAGAACCGGACCCGAGCGTACGGCGCGTAGCGTTCCGCGCGCGCCTCAAGGAGCCAATGTACCACCACAGACGGGGCCCTATAGAGCTGATATTCAGCCGGGGTTGCGGGGTAAGCGCAATGAGGCACCGCGGCCTCGGCACAGAGCAGGAGAAGGAACGGGGGGTTTTTAGTCAGTAAGAGTCTGACACTCCCTCCCGCCCGGCCCTGGGCGGATGAAGTCATTTGATGATTTTCCCCTCACAAAAAAAAACACCCTCATGCATGAGATCCTGGTGTCTTAACCACCGAACCTTTTGGGCTCATGCATGCTTTACCCAGACCGAGAATCAAATCCATTAATCACAATAACAATATCAAATCATAACTATTATATAATTCTATTATATACTATGTACATAATATCATTATTTAATAATATAAAATTATGACGATCGCTTATCAAGCTACCACAATACACCATATTCATTTTCAACCTTAGTCCAAAAGAAATAAGATTGAGAATGTAATATAAAACTTTGACAAATAGGTGTAGCTTGACCTGCGTTTCTACAAAGAAGTGTACCTAAACAATCGTAGGAAATGACCAACGGTATAATTGTGTCTATTGTCTTTACTAGTGATGGGACAGTGTCGGTGAAAAGTTATCGATAGAATTTTTAGCCGGGACGTTAGTTCAAGTAAGCTGTAGTAAGCTAATGTTTGCTTTTTTAAATACCGATTTTTTATTTGTTTTATACGTTTGTACGTGTTATTTTGTACGTTTTCAGCTACATTTTTATCAAACTGTAAACAAGGCTCGTTTCAAAAGCACCTACTTTGTTTCAAAAGTACCTATTTATGGTTTAGTTGGAATAAATGATTTTGACGTTGACTTTGACTTTAGATAATTAAAAAAAAACATTATGAAAAAGAAATCTTTTCGAAAATCTTCATTGTATAGTTTAATTCTAATATAACAGCGTAAAAAAACAAAATATATTCACATAATTCAGTTCTTCCTCTTATAACTTCAACCAAAAATTATAATTAGAATGGTGCAGAGCTTTAGCTAACGCTTGGGTTATAATTTCGCCTTTCAAACAAAACAGTTCATACATTTAATGCCTGACTAGATTTTTAATTAATTAAATGCTGGTTTATCGATAAAGACATGTCCCATCACTATTAACAACAACGCAAGGTCTTTCATTTCACTTTATCCAACTACGAAGTAAAGGGAGTGCTGTGTTTATATCTGTATATAGGTATTGTACCTACTTGATGGCGAGTTCAGATTAAAACTTTAATTCTGAACTCAGCACCAATTGCCTTTTCTTTGTAAATCATTAAATGACTTCGCTCACCTAGGGAAGGCTAGCTTTTGCACGCGACTCCGTTCGCGTGGAATAGTGAAATAAAACTATTCTATGTCCTTTCTCGAATTCCAAACTATCTCTATAACGTATATCACAGAAATCGGTTCAGTAGTTCAAGCGTGAAGAAAAGATAGACAGACAGACAGACGGAGTTACTTTTGCATTTAAAATATAAGTTTGATTTAAAACAACCCTGTGGTTATATCACGTCGATTTTCTGTGAGGCCGTGGTATCAATCCGGTCGAGTGAAACCATTGTTCTTCTAAACTTAATGACTCTTGTACATTTTATTAATAGATGTTATTTCTTTGTTCACAGGAAGAAGCGACAAAATGAAGCGATCGCGACACAGATGGGTTGGACTCAGTTTATTTTGTAAGTGTTTTTTACTTTTTAAAATGTATGTTGCTTAATGTTTTTGCCAAATTCCTTTCAAAAACCTCTTCTCACACGGAGAAGCTTTGACCAATAATCACCACGCTCTCCCGAGGCGGATTGACAATTTCTAACTTATAATTAGAAATTATAAAGTTAAGGTTTCCTCACGCTGTTTTCCTTCACCGTATGTCAGTGGTGTCTAAATAATCATAGAAAGTACATTTACTCGGAAAAAGTCACATTGGTACTTGCCAGGTTTCGAACCCTCATACTTGAGAGGTTAGTGTTAATCTCTAGGCCACAACAGTATAAATAACAGTAAAATAATAAAAAATACTAAAAAAATATCTATTGCAACATATTATTTAAATAAAAATCAGCTATTTAGCATTAATACATAATGTATATAACCAAATCAACTATTCCTTATATGGTAAATAATGTCATCTCTGAATTTAAACAGAAACTTCAAGGTTTATTCATAGGAAGTCGGGCAGAACAATCTAATTTCTATATTTTACGCGCAAACGCATGCAGACCTTGAAAGTGTTCTAGAATATCTTTCGGATTAAATTTTCGACAAACAAACTAGTAAGTATATTAGATTGGGTTTTTTATTGTTTTACTAGCTTTTGCCCGCGACTTTGTTTTTGAATAGTGACGTCCTGCAGATTTTATTTAAAAAACTATCCTATATACTTTCTCGAGTTCCAAACTATGTCTGTACCAAATTTTACACAAATAGGTTCAGTAGTTTAGGCGTGAAGAAAAGTCAGACAGACAGACAGACAGAGTAACTTTCGCATGTATAATATTAGTTTGGATTGGATACTTGATGACTAGCTACTATGCATAGACTGGCATGCAACCTGTCGCGTTTTCGATTCTCGTACAGATCAAATCTGTGTATTTCGATGTGCAAGTGTGGAAGATCCACGCTTCGGCTCGACCGAATTGATACCAATTGACCACAGCGTTGTGTTTCGCCGTGTGGGTCAGGTTACCGGAGGCCAAATCCTTACACTCCGCTAATCCCTTCCCAATCGTTAAATATCCAAAACCATCCCTAAAAGACCGGCAACGCATTCGTCACTCCCTTGGTGTTGCGGGTGTCCATAGGCGGTGCTGATTGCTTACCATCAGGTAATTCGCCAACGCTGTGGTTTTTTCACGCAGGTTTCCTGTAAGGCCGCGGTTTCCCATTCGTGCCGAAGCTGGGATCTCCCACTCTTAAAGTTTGGCTCTATTACATACAAAAAATTTCATTTGTTTTATTTTTGTCAAATTCTCAAACACGAGAATCGAACGTGATGTTATACTAATAAAAATAGAGATCACGTAAGATTTTATTCAATATAACCTTCACCTATAAACAAGTTGTATTTATTTATAGGTTATGTAGAGACTTATATAGAAATATCACTTAAAACAAAATTTTCCTATAAATTCATTGATTCTATATACAGTTGTGACATAAAATTATTTTGATCTGATGAGTTCATAGTGTTGTACCAGTGTCGATAAAATTTTACGGTGTACTTTTACGATTATCGATGAGAATTAGGTAATACATTAGATTTGGAAATAATATCAACTTGAAAAGTCCATTTCATGCAATTTTGAACAAAATTAACTAAAAAGATTAATATAAAACTATGAATGCAATGATCAAGAACAGTCTAATAAAAAAATACAAAGTTACCACACTCATCTTTTGCATTATCAACGCTTAAAAGTTGAGGGGTTTTGTTAAATTATCGATATCGATATTCGAATTTAAAACTAATAATCCTCTCTATCAGCAAACGTAAATTTGCAAATTTTTTATCGACATATTTTTATCGATATTTTTCCATCGACAAACATCCCACCCCTTCTTAATAACCTATATAATGTTAATCGATATAAAATGGAAGATGAGATGAGTAAGTTGCAAAACTATTTCTTGCAAAAGTCAAGGATTAAGTATTTAATGTTGAAACCTAGGCATAAATGTCAAAATTTGCATTACATAAGGTAGTAAATAATATAATAGTATGAGGTAAATTTTCTTTGGAATAGCATTGATTAATTTCTTAATAAATTGTGATGGATTTAGAGATTTTTTAGAGATTTGTCTATTTAGACAGTAAAGATGAATATAAAATAGGTTACATAAAATAATAATATGGCACTTCCCCTTCTTGAGGCTCGAAAAACATTGGCGAGTTTGAATTGTAATGGACGAATCCTGATCTGCTCCTATAAATCGTAGCGGGATATTTTTATACCATATATCCGCCGCATTAAAACCGAGCAGCGAGGTATGGCAAGGGCTATGCTTGAAGTCTCTCTGAAGGATCGTATTCGAAATGAGGTGATCTGACAGAGAACTAAAGTTATCGACATAGCACAAAGGATTAGCAAACTGAAGTGGCAGTGGGCAGTCGAACCGATGACCGTTGGGGTAAACGTGTTCTAGAGTGGAGACCACGTCTAAGCAAACGTAGTGTAGGGCGCCCTCCATCTAGGTGGACTGACGATATCCGCAGGGTGGCTGGCAGTGGTTGGATGAGAAGAGCTGAACATCCAGCTCAGTGGCGTGCAATTGGGGAGGCCTATGTCCAGCAGTAGACGACAACAGGCTGATGATGATGAACTTTACATTTACATAGATTTCGAAATGGTCGAATCATGAATACCTAAGGCGTGAAATACGGCGGAAATACGACCACTTCTGGGGTTGCATTGCAAGCGCAATTATTTACTGCGGCTCAAGCCAGAGAACAGAACAGGAGAATCAACCGCTTTTTAGTCAGAGTGTGACACTCCCTCTCGCCTCACCTATATAAACTTAAGTGTGGGAGAGCCATGCTTCGGCACAAATGAGTCGGCTCGACCGGAGTGATACCACGGCCTCACAGAATTGTGTTTCGCTGTGTGAGTGAGGTTACCGGAGGCCCAATCTTTCCCCTACCCCAATCCGTTCCCTTTCCCAATATCTCAAAATCCCTAATCCCTAAAAGGTCGACAACGCACTCGTAACTCTTCCGTCGTCGCGGGTGTCCATGGGCGACGCTGATTGCTTACCATCAGGTTTGCTCGTTTGCCGACCTATCACATAAAAAAAAACTTAATAAATGTACAGGCTGAACTAATGCAATTGGCACTGTCTAACAGTAGACCAAAGGTGATGACTTCCCCCCTCAAAAAGTGCTATAAATATAATTGACATTATATATGGCATCGATGTCGTTGTGGCCCGGTGGTTAAGGAGCCCGCTTCTCATGCGTGAGGGTAGAGGTTCGAAACCTGGCAAGTACCAATGTGACTTTTTCTGAGTTATATGTACTTTCTATGATTACTTACATACGGACACCACTGACATACGGTGAAGGCAAACATCGTGAGGAAACCTGGGTTTATAATTTCTTATTATAAGTTTGAAATCGCCAACCTGCATTGAGCAAGCGTGGTGATTAATGCTCTAACCTTCTCTGTATGAGAAGAGGCTTTTGCTCAGCAGTGGGCACTAATAGGCCGTTGGTGATGGCATCGATCATGTCCTAAGTTCTCACCTTAAATTAATGCTTATTTTGTGCTCAAAGTAAACTTACTTCGGAATATTAAGCATATTACAACATAACTGACGACCGACCTTCACAGCTCATGTTGACATTATCCTCAATATTAAACAATGTTTCTCAGAAACCAGTGTTTAAACAACCACAGAGTTTGGTTGGTTTTGGGAAATACCATTTAAGTGGTAATGAAATAATATATCTAGTTATATTGCCGATAAGAGATTAGTTGTCAGGGGATTTTTTTTTTATGTAATAGGTCGGCAAACGAGCAGGCGGATTACCTGATGGTAAGCAATCAGCGCCGCCCATGACACCCGCAACGGAGGAGTTACGAGTAAGTTGTCGTCCTTTGGGGATAAGGGTTTTTGTGATTTAGGGATTCTGGAGGGATTTTGGGAGGAAAATGATGAGGTATCTGGTAACCTCACTCACACGGCGAAACACAACGCTGTGGTTGTTTCACGCCGGTTTTCTGTGAGGCTGTGGTATCACTCCGGTCGAGCCGACCCATTCGTGCCGAAGCATGGCTCTCCCACACTTAAAAAAAGAATCACTCTAAAAACTGCTTACTATGTAGTTTTTAGCAACCAATGATGAAATTAACTACGACATACAAACCTTATATTTTGATATTTACGTTATCACAGTACGGCCGACGTATCTTGGCGAGTCTGAAGTTAGCCGTTTGTCTGCGCAATGGATCTTTTAGGAACAAAATTGTGTACTGCACGGCTAATCGGCTAACTTCAGACTCGCCAAGATACGTTGGCGGTATTGTATTTTGTTATATTTTTACTTAGTTGGATTCTAGTCTTCAGTAAAAGTTTCCAACAGTCGAATCACATCATCCTAACTAATATTATAAATGCGAAAGTAACTCTGTCTGTCTGTCTTTCTGTCTGTCTGTCTGTCTGTCTGTCTGTCTGTCTGTCTTTTCTTCACGCCTAAACCACTGAACCGATTTCTGTGAAATTTGGTGCAGACATAGTTTGGAACTCGAGAAGGGAAATAGAATAGTTTTTATACCAAAATTCTGCAGGAAGTAACTATTCCACGTGAACAAATTCGCGAGCAAAAGCTAGTCAGTCTATAAATGCCCACTGATGAGCAAAGGCCTCTTCTCTCACGGAGAAGGTTTGAGCATTAATCACCACGGTTGCTCCAGGATTTGAAAATTATAAGTCCAGGTTTCGTTACGGTGTTTTACTTCACCTTAATTGAATGGTGTCTAAATAATCATAGAAAGTACATGTAACTCGGCAAACGTCACATAAGTATATTTGCCAGGGTTTGAGCCCGCACCGTCGTGTATAAGAAGCGGGTGGCTTAACCACCAGGTCACTACGAATTAATTGAACAGTCGAAGACACCCAAATGTTCCTCAGGACTAAAAATTTCGTCAGATAACTATTTTAGATTCTCCCGTTCTTCAAAACAGACAGAGAGATGCAAAAATGGTCTTTGTTATAATATGTAAAGATACAATATTGTTTTCATCGCATCTAGCCTAATCTGCTAATTCTCTTCTTTCAGGTATCTCCCTAACCCTTCTAGCAGTCGACTTGCCCACCACATCAGCCGTAAAAGCCACTTCCCTTATCTTCTCGAAGACCTCCACGACAGCAGCTCCAGAAGAAACAGCCGAAGATGGAGCCGAGGTTAGTAGACCAGAAGACCAGTAGACTAATATGCCAGTAGACTAGTAGACCAGTAGACCAGTAGACTAGTAGACTTCAATGAAAATAATATGTTTTAATGACGTCATACTAAGCTATAGTAGATTTTAATCTAAAATTCTCAATAATCTATTGCTGATATCAATGACCAATGACATTCTACTATTAGACAATGGGGCTTATTTCAGCACTCCTAGCAGTTGGATTGGTAAAAGATCTACTCTCTCTCTCTCTCTCTCTCTCTCTCTCTCTCTCTCTCTCTCTCTCTCGAAAGATCGACCCACTAAAGCAATCGTCTCTCTTAGTGGGCTCATAAAATACCCACGGGAAGACCAAGTTTGGTGACTAATTATTTTCTATTTTGCTGTCACCACATAGCTGGTGCTATGGTAGATTTTAATCTAACTTCTTCCATACATAAAAAGCACATAACAAAATAGATTACACTTGAAAACTTGCATGGCAAACACAACAGACTAATTTCAGCGTAAATCTCAGGCCATACAAACCATTTCCTGATAACACCAACCCGGATATACTACCTTACATTCCAAGGTTGTTTACTTACATATATATACCTATATATATTATATACATATATGAATGTTTACATATGTATGTTTTGCGTCCATAGATCGAAATTAATATCTTGTGTGTTTGTCATTACGATGTCGTGAAAAAAGAGCGACTTAATAATATCAATTTTGTGTTGATATTTTTATGCGATGGGGGTTTTTTTGTCAGGGGAAAACCGTCAAATTACTTCACCCGCCCAGCCAAAGGCGAGAGAGAGTGTCAGACTTTTACTGACTAGAAACCCCCCGTTCCTTCTCCTGCTCTTGTCAGAGGCCGCGGTGACTCATTGCGGAACCCAGCAACCCCGGCTGAAAGAGATTACTCTTGGAACGAGCAAGAGAAGGCAGCTTTTAGTCAGTAAGAGTCTGACACTCCCACTTGCTCTTACCAGAGCAGAGAGAAGAAGGTTGATGATTTTTCCTCCCTCAAAAATTTGTGATAAATGAGCAGACATAGCTCACACACATTCCGCAACACATTGGCCTTCTAGGATTAGAGTTTTTGTAAATTTAAAATTGTAAATATTTTATGGATAGGGGATAAAAAGGGAGAAGGCAGTAACCTCACAGTGAAACACAGCGCAAGTCTTGTTTCACGCCGGTTTTCTCCAAGGCCGTGGTATCACTCCGCTTTCCCAAATTTAAAACGACATCACAACGCCAAGAAGTCACATTTTTTTTTTCGATAGTCACATGTTTTTTGCCCTACAAGTCAAGCCACGGGTGAAAACTAACACAGTTATAGGTTGTTTTTTTTTAAATCTTGATTTATAATACTTATGAAATATTTATAAAGTTGGGCTAAACAAGTTTAAATGAAAGTCGGAGCGAGACTGATTTAATTAGTTAACTTAAGTTGGTTATGACAATAATTTATATTATATATCTATACTAATGTCGTGGTGGCCCAGAGGTTAAGGCGCCCGCTTCTCATGCATGAGGGTAGGGTTCGAAACCTGGCTAGTAACAATGTGACTTTTTCCGAGTTATATGTACTGTCTATGATTATTTAGTCACCACTGACATACGGTGAAGGAAAACATCGTGAGGAAACCTGGACTAATAATTTCTAATTTTATGTTTGAAATCGCCAACCCGCATTGAGCAAGCGTGGTGATTAATGCTCTAACCTTCTCCGTATGAGAAAAGGCCTTTGCTCAGCAGTGGGCCCTTTTAGGATGATGATGATGATATCTATACTAATAATATAAAGCTGAAGAGTTTGTTTTTTTGAACACGCTAATCTCCGAAACTACTGTTTCGAATTGAAAAATTATTTTTGTTTTTGTTAATCCATTATCGAGGAAGGCTATAGGCTATGAGACATCACGCTCTGATCTATAGGAGCTGAGCAGCGAGAGAAACAGCGGGAGAGTAGCTAGTATTATATAAAAATCAATGACAATTTTCGTTGTAATGTTTTAACTCAACAATGCCTTTACCGATTAAGCTAATTTTAGTCTTGAATTATTCGTGGATTTACAAAAAAATTGAAAAGGTTTGTTTGTAGAGAAAATTAAAAAAAAATATTGTGTTGTTTCGACATAAACGCGGGCGGAGCCGCGGGCGACCACTAGTATTAGTATATCTTAGTACTAGTTTCTACCAGGGCTTTGCTGTTACCCGGATAAAAATGAAATATGGCCTTTGTGTTATGCCAGACTATAATCTATTTCTGTGCCAAATTACATTCAAATCCGTTCAGTAGTTTCAACATAAGAGACTTACAAACATCAATCCGCAATTAGAAACTTTCGCGTTTATAATATAAGGAGGGCTTAGTAGAATTTTTGTTGCCTTGTTGATCAAATGTTAGAACACTCAAAGGTTTGACTCTTGAGTCGGGAAAAGTCGTATGACTTGAGCCATGCTTCGGCACGAATGGGTCGGCTCGACCGGAGTGATACCACGACCTCACAGAAGACCGGCGTGAAACAACCACAGCGTTGTGTTTCGCCGTGTGAGTGAGGTTACCGGAGGCCCAATCCTTCCCCTCCCCCAATCCCTCCTTATTCCCTAAATCTCCAAATCCCTAATCCCTAAAAGGTCGGCAACGCACTCGTAACTCCTCCGTTGCGAGTGTCAATGGGCGGCGCTGATTGCTTACCATCAGGTAATCGGTCTGCTCGTTTGCCGACCTATTAAATAAAAAAAAAAAAAAATATTATATCATTGGCAAAAAGTAAATGTTTTTATAATATTAGTACGAATGTCGCGAATAGGTGAGAGTGATACCAGAGCGTCACAGAAAACCGGCGTGAAACAACTACGGCGTACACTTAAAAAACATACCAATACACCGAAGAAAATCGTAGTTGTGTTAAAAAAAAACATTAAAACTATACAATGGCCCATTTATTAGTAATATATTCAAATAGAAAATATTACACGACCTATCACGATAAATAAGCTAATAAAACCTCCTTAGGTTTTATTATAGACGGCATCTTAAAGTGCCAAGGATGACTTAAGTGAAGGGATATCCTGACTTATGAGCTTAACTGAACTAGATATTGCCTGTGACTTCGATTGATTGCATTGAAAATAATAAATAATAACTATAACTTTTGGTCTAATTATATGAATAAAAAATAATCCTCATTTTTAAAATTTTGCTTCCTTTTTTTCAAAGAAATGCCTTATATCTCAACTCCTGAATCCCTAAAGGCTGGAAATGGTATTCTAACTCGTCCGGTGACCATAGGTGACCGATTGGCGAATTTGGAGTGAATTGAATCAAACCCACGAGACGTTGCGCAACAGCCTTAGCAGCCATAAATAGAGCACCTCACTTCATTGACGAACAGACTGACAGACTACTATTCTATTTTGACGTTTCAAAAGCACCTATTTATGGTTTAGTTGGAATCAATGATTTTGATTTGATTTGATTTGAAATTACTTCTTTATCAACTATGAGAATTAAGCACCACGCTTACTCAAGGTGGATTGACGATTTCGAACTTATAATTAGAAATTTATAAGCCACTTCACGAAATTATAAGTCCAGGTTTCCTCACGATGTTTTCCTTCACCGTTTCTCAGTGGTGTCTTAATAATCATAGAAAGCACATATAACTCGGAAATAGTCACTTTAATACTTGCCCAGTTTCGAACTCTCATGCATAACAGTGTCTGAAACTTTGGACTACCACGACAGCTTATAAGTACCCACAATTTCTGACTAGATTTTCTTTTCATTTCAGGCTGAAACAACGGCTGAAGGTGGAGAAGCAACAAATTCGACAAGCAATTCCAAGCTAACCGGAATACCTCAAATAGACTACATATACGACCCCAACTTGCCCCGGGAATTAAACGGGTATAATCTGTCTGACTACCCGTTTTACGAAGCCGTTCCGAAGCCAGAGACTATAGACTTCAAGTGCGATGGTTTGCACGACGGGTTCTATGCTTCTGTGCCACATAAATGTCAGGTAAGGAAATCTATGTTGTGTGATATTTTATACCCTAACTGTACACAGTTAGGGTATAGGTTCCTTTTTCAATCAAAGTTACCAGCAAAAATACTGAATTGCTCACTTAATTTGCTAATTAAATAAATCACTAAACTATATTGTAAGATTTGTAGTTCTAATGAATTACGATCAGTTAAACTAAAAGTTTATATTTTTTCTTTATTTTACCCCACCTAAAATTTAATTGCAATATCTAATAATTTGTGTACACAGTATTTTTGTTTTACAGTGAGTAAGTAATTTTGTTTCAAAATTCATGTAAATATGTGTTCTGGAGTCAGCTAGATTTTTTTGCAGTAAAGATAAAAAAGGCTATTCTAATTTGATGATTTTTTCAACATGATATAAATTAAGGTTAGAAACTCAATAACGCGACGCTTCCACCCATTTCGCGGTTTTTCTCTTTTGTTTTTATTCACATGATAACGCAAATTTTAATAAAGAACGTAGAAGTCAATAATTGGAAATTGGTATAATTTTATTCCTACCTCCAAATCAGCCCAAATCCAAAATACTAACAAGGAATCCACAGATTTTACCATTAATAAACAACACAAGATATAATGTTAATGTTCCTATTCCAGGTGTACCATCATTGTCTATTCGGGACCAGATATGACTTCCTCTGCGCCAACTACACCGCTTTCGACCAGAAGACCTTCATCTGCCATTTCGTCTCCGAAGTAGACTGCAAGAACTCCCCCAACTACTTCAGCAGGTAAGCAGCAGCTGCTCATGTAGTGCAGATATTGTCCAGTCAACAAGGACGTAGCGTAGACTGTCCAGGCGACACACGTACTTAAGTATCGTCATGAGCTAATGTTCACATGTAAACAGCAGCTCATGTAGTGCAGAGATTGTCCAGTCAACAAGGATGTAGCGTAGACTGTCCAGGCGACACACGTACTTAAGTATCGTCATGAGCTAATGTTCACATGTAAACAGCAGCTCATGTAGTGCAGAGATTGTCCAGTCAACAAGGATGTAGCGTAGACTGTCCAGGTGACACACGTACTTAGGTATCGTCATGAGCTAATGTTCACATGTAAACAGCAGCTCATGTAGTGCAGAGATTGTCCAGTCAACAAGGATGTAGCGTAGACTGTCCAGGTGACACACGTACTTAGGTATCGTCATGAGCTAATGTTCACATGTAAACAGCAGCTCATGTAGTGCAGAGATTGTCCAGTCAACAAGGATGTAGCGTAGACTGTCCAGGCGACACACGTACTTAGGTATCGTCATGAGCTAATGTTCACATGTAAACAGCAGCTCATGTAGTGCAGAGATTGTCCAGTCAACAAGGATGTAGCGTAGACTGTCCAGGCGACACACGTACTTAGGTATCGTCATGAGCTAATGTTCACATGTAAACAGCAGCTCATGTAGTGCAGAGATTGTCCAGTCAACAAGGATGTAGCGTAGACTGTCCAGGCGACACACGTACTTAGGTATCGTCATGAGCTAATGTTCACATGTAAACAGCAGCTCATGTAGTGCAGAGATTGTCCAGTCAACAAGGATGTAGCGTAGACTGTCCAGGCGACACACGTACTTAGGTATCGTCATGAGCTAATGTTCACATGTAAACAGCAGCTCATGTAGTGCAGAGATTGTCCAGTCAACAAGGATGTAGCGTAGACTGTCCAGGCGACACACGTACTTAGGTATCGTCATGAGCTAATGTTCACATGTAAACAGCAGCTCATGTAGTGCAGAGATTGTCCAGTCAACAAGGATGTAGCGTAGACTGTCCAGGCGACACACGTACTTAGGTATCGTCATGAGCTAATGTTCACATGTAAACAGCAGCTCATGTAGTGCAGAGATTGTCCAGTCAACAAGGATGTAGCGTAGACTGTCCAGGCGACACACGTACTTAGGTATCGTGATGAGTTAATGTTCACATGTAAACAGCAGCTCATGTAGTGCAGAGATTGTCCAGTCAACAAGGATGTAGCGTAGACTGTCCAGGCGACACACGTACTTAGGTATCGTCATGAGCTAATGTTCACATGTAAACAGCAGCTCATGTAGTGCAGAGATTGTCCAGTCAACAAGGATGTAGCGTAGACTGTCCAGGCGACACACGTACTTAGGTATCGTCATGAGCTAATGTTCACATGTAAACAGCAGCTCATGTAGTGCAGAGACTGTCCAGTCAACAAGGATGTAGCGTAGACTGTCCAGGCGACACACGTACTTAGGTATCGTCATGAGCTAATGTTCACATGTAAACAGCAGCTCATGTAGTGCATTGTCCAGTCAACAAGGATGTAGCGTAGACTGTCCAGGCGACACACGTACTTTGGTATCGTCATGAGCTAATGTTCACATGTAAACAGCAGCTCATGTAGTGCAGAGATTGTCCAGTCAACAAGGATGTAGCGTAGACTGTCCAGGCGACACACGTACTTAGGTATCTACATGAGCTAATGTTCACATGTAAACAGCAGCTCATGTAGTGCAGAGATTGTCCAGTCAACAAGGATGTAGCGTAGACTGTCCAGGTGACACACGTACTTAGGTATAGTCATGAGCTAATGTTCACATGTAAACAGCAGCTCATGTAGTGCAGAGATTGTCCAGTCAACAAGGATGTAGCGTAGACTGTCCAGGCGACACACGTACTTAGGTATCTACATGAGCTAATGTTCACATGTAAACAGCAGCTCATGTAGTGCAGAGATTGTCCAGTCAACAAGGATGTAGCGTAGACTGTCCAGGCGACACACGTACTTAGGTATCTACATGAGCTAATGTTCACATGTAAACAGCAGCTCATGTAGTGCAGAGATTGTCCAGTCAACAAGGATGTAGCGTAGACTGTCCAGGCGACACACGTACTTAGGTATCTACATGAGCTAATGTTCACATGTAAACAGCTCATGTAGTGCAGAGATTGTCCAGTCAACAAGGATGTAGCGTAGACTGTCCAGGTGACACACGTACTTAGGTATCTACATGAGCTAATGTTCACATGTAAACAGCAGCTCATGTAGTGCAGAGATTGTCCAGTCAACAAGGATGTAGCGTAGACTGTCCAGGCGACACACGTACTTAGGTATCGTCATGAGCTAATGTTGACATGTAAACAGCAGCTCATGTAGTGCAGAGATTGTCCAGTCAACAAGGATGTAGCGTAGACTGTCCAGGCGACACACGTACTTAGGTATCGTCATGAACATATTACTAATCTGAACATGCCAGAAATATTGTAGCATTATACTAAATACCTATAGTTAAATATTAAACTAAAAGGGAATGTCTGTCTGTCTGTGCAATCGAAAATCCTTGCCAAAGCGAAGGGTACTTTCAATACAAGTTCGTGATTCGGATAAGCGTGAGTTTGCAAATAATGACATGTCATGCGCTTGCGCACATCTTTAAAGTTTTATCTTTTTAGAATGCAATATTTAAATTTGGCAGTAAAGTGTATATAAATACCATTCTGAACTTTTTTGAAATTATGTAAAGTCAAAGTCAAAGTCAAAATAATTTATTTCAATTAGACCCATACAGGCACTTTTGAACGTCAACACAACTTTAAAGATACAAAGTGTCAGTCTGTCGGTCAGTCCTCTTAGTGAAGCTATTCGCTCGTTCCAAAGTGTAGATTCCGATGGAGAAGAACGAGCAAGAAACTCCATGGTTACTCTTTTAAAATCAGTGTCACATAAACATTCTTTGATACATTATTTAGTTAATTTGAATATGTGAGAACAGTGTAACGCGTGTATACAGAGAAACATAAAAAAAAATAACCTTAAGGACAATAGACAGTCCGGAGCTGACCAGTCCCAATTGACGGCGCCCGTTCACGAGCATGACACGTACACCAGCATCGCCCAACTCAACCATAATATAGGGAATCGAGCGATCCAGTGACCGTGCCACCGCCAATGTGATCTTTGAGTGAGCTCTTGACAACTCCAAGCTGACATAAGGACCGACATTCTGCTAGTCTAACTAATTTTAATAGGTTACAGGGCACTCACATTTACAAATTTATCAAGTTTAACAATAAAAATAGCATGGTTACAAATTTACAAAATCTAAGAATTTCCGTTCAAGCAAAGATCCACTGGAACATATTCGTGTAGGTATATTATCCTGTGGAGCAGGACCAGCCCGTCTCCAAGCATCCTTATCCTCAATATAATCACTCAGTTTGTAATATGCTTTTTTACACAAAGTTTTCTTTACACATAATTTAAAATTTCTTTCATTTAATTGTTGTATTTCGCCTGGGATTTTGTTATAACACTTAACGCTGAATCCCATGAACGACTTGTGTACCTTTGCCAGTCTAAATAATGGCTGACACAATCTATCTCTATGTCTAGTTTTGTAATTATGTCTGTCTGATACCTTATCAAATAATATTAAGTGTTTCCTAACATACATTATATTTTCATAAATAAACTGACCGGGCACAGTCATAATATTGATCTCTTTAAATTTTTCTCTAAGAGATTCGCGAAGCCTTAGGTTGTAAATTGCTTGTAATAAAGGACAGTCAAGTTTTTACTTTTAAAACGTTGAATTCACTAACTAATGAAGGTTACATATAATTACGAGTGTATTAAAGGGAAAAATCATTATTGAAATACCTTAAAAGTTCGAATGATGATGAATCTTAGCTTGACGCTTCTGTTGGTTATATGCAGCCCTTAGCAGTTTACCGTTAACTAGGGTTTTCCTCACAATCAGATGTTTTGAACGCTTTACACTCGAGATTGCAGGTTAAATAAATCAGGTACATATTTTTTATTAAAAATTAATTGGTCTGCACGGTTGGAGTGGTAGTTGAGCAACTGGCTGCCCGCGAAACAATACTATGTGTGGTCTACAAATTGTTGTTCCTGGAAGGTGTGATGTGTATGTGAAATTGTATGTTTGTTAACGCATAAACGACACAGGAGAAAATCCAAGTACATTACTTTGTCCCACACAAAGTTATGTATAAAAAAAAGTTAAAGTTGATTTCTGAGTTTGGTGGTAGGATGCGGCCAATCTGTAAACAACCTACTTGGATTAACAACATAAATTACACGAGTATTAACGCGATAATAACTATCTAAATAAACCTTGGTAGGCTTGACTTTTCGACCTAGTTGCAAAGGTCGTGGTCACAAGCAGACTGAAGATGCGATGTCACAGCTCCCTGCATTCGGGAGGTGAATCTTCATTCACGAATCACTATCTTCTTGGATTATCAGAAAATTTTGAAAGAGTAGTTCTTTTTACATCTTACATAATATGCTTCACAACGCCATCATCACTCAGCTTAGCATCAGCAAAAACCAAGCTAACATAATTCCCCTTCTTCTTCCAGGAACGACGCTCTCTACCAAGCTGCGACCACAACGACGGTGGCTCCACCCCCACCACCATCGACCACAACAACGACCACCACACCAAGACCCCCCCGCCCGTCCCGCAGACGTCCAGCGTACAGATACGATTACGACGACGATGATTATTATTATTCCAGAGACGATTACGATTATGAAGACAGGTAACAATAAAACAATGAATTTATTTATGGAGATAATATTGATATTTTAAGTGTGAGAGAGCCATGCTTCGGCACGAATGGGTCGGCTCGACCGGAGTGATGCCACGGCCTCACAGAAAACCGGCGTAAAACAACCACAGTGTTGTGTTTCGCCGTGTGAGTGAGGTTACCGAAGGCCCAATCCTTCCTTCCCCCAAGCCCTCCTCAATCCCTGAGTCTCCAAATCCCTTATCCCTAAAAGATCGGCAATGCACTAACCACGTAACTCCTCCGTTGCGGGTGTCCATGGGCGGCGCTGATTGCTTACCATCAGGTAATCCGTCTGCTCGTTTGCCGAACTATTACATAAAAAAAATACCATAATACAGTGAATTTTATAAAAAATCTAGACGAAGCCTGCATTTCTTTGACTACTCTAAAAAGAAATGCCTCAACAAACTCAGAGGTCAGTCCAGACAAATGTACAAATGACGTGTGACAACTGTGCAAGTTCATTCTGTAGTGAGGTTTTGAGGAAAGAACCACACACTCAATTTGAGTGGATCAATTCTGACGGCAGGCACGCAAGCTAACAACTAGCTTAACTAACGTTTGTTTTCAAACGAACAATACCGAATAAATCATCATCATCACCTTCCTGCCCTTGTCCCGTTTTATTTGGGGTCGGCGCAATATGTTTTTTTCTTCCATTCTGTCCTGTCACTCGTCACGCTATCGCTAACTCCTCTGTCTTCCATATCACTTCTCACACAATCCATCCATATTTTCTTTGGTCTCCCTCTCCCTCTCCATCCATCCACATTTATACTCATGGCTTTTTTTGTTACATGCTTTTCATCCCTCCTTTTCACATGGCCATACCAAGATAATACCGAATAATACAATACAGAATATTTGAATGGGTCGCACAAATACTCAAACATAAATAAGTAGTAGTCGAAAAGTGTGGCAAAACATACACATTTCTTACACAATATTTTGCCGATATAACTCTTGCGCGGGGATTGTGCTTGCCCGGAACCCCAGCCTAGAACAGGAGAAGAAACGAGAGAGTTTCAATCAGTAAGAGCCTGAAACTGCCTCTCGCCCACTTAGTTCAGAAGAAGAAACTTTTTCAAAAGCAGCCAAGCCAGAAATTTCCTATTTTTTCATATGAAACTGCACTTTTGGTTTCGAATTCCCCAAAAATCATCTAGAAGACCTAGGTCTTCTAGATTCGAAAAAAGTTCATCTATCCCAGTCTAGACTGGGATAGATGAACTTTCCTTACATTAGACAGCAAAGCTGGTTAACTGTTATGTAGGGTTCTTTCAAAATGTGCATTTAACCAGGATTGTGTGTTTTATTTCCAGGAGAAGACCTCGGCCCCGCAGACCAGGCAAGAAGAAGAGGCCAGCAGTAGACGACTACGAAGACGACAGGTATGTAGCAGAAGAAAAATATTATTCAGTTATTCTCACCCTTCTTAGACTATTGATATGGAGAGATTAATTGATTGAGAGTCTTTAACTATGAAAACGACTTTTCAACATGGTATAGACTACATATCACGAAGAAGTAAGAAAGATAGGTAATAGATTTAAATATATTTAACCAAGATTTAAAAAAAATAAAGGAATATAAAGAACACTTATGCGTTACTTGTGGAAATTACCAATTTTGGCTTAGGACTAACCCTAGGGGGGTTATGCTGTAAAAGTCAAAAGTCTAAAGTAAAAATCATTTAGATGACAATTAAACCATGGCTATCCATGGTTTAATGGGTATGATATATACATATGAGCCTATGCTCATATGTATATGTTTACAATAACTCTGTCAGTCTGTTAGTAAGTGAAGCTAGGTGCTGCATATAACGTATCACTATCTAATTTATAGCGGAATTTAAATTAGGTATTTTCCTGTAGAGTCAAATTGGAAATTTTGAAACCGAATCAGAATCATCATGCATATATAAGAAGAGTACCTAAATCTCTACTTTTGGCATGATACAATTAAATAAACAGTGATATCAAAAATTTTATAATTTTTTTCCAAAAAACATTCCAGATACGACCGTCGTCCGAGACCACGGGACGAGGATCCAGTAGACGATTACGAAGACCGCAGACCATATGACAGAAGGCCAGCGAAGAGACCAGCTTATCCCGAAAGAAGACCATATGACGACGAAGAAGACCGAAGACCTGCTGCCAGAAGACCTAGACCAAGGCCCAGAGATGAGGAAGAAGAAAGGTACAGGCCTGATGATGACGAAAGACCCAGAATGGGACAAAGAGATCAAACTAGGGAAGATAGGCCTAAAAGACCAAGACCCAGAGATGAATACAGGCCAAGAGATGAAGTCAGGCCCAGAGACGAGGTTATGAGACCAAGAGATGAAGCGAGAGTTGATGATGACGTAAGGCCAAGAGATGAAGTTAGGCCTCGTGATGAGGTAAGGCCAAGGGAATCCATTAGACCTAGAGATGAAATTAGACCTCGAGATGAAATTAGACCTCGAGATGAAATTAGACCTCGAGATGAAATTAGACCTCGTGATGAAATCAGACCTCGCGATGAAATTAGACCACGCGATGAAATCAGGCCAAGGGATGAAATCAGGCCAAGGGATGAAGTCAGACCAAGAGACGAAGTCAGACCTCGTGACGAAATCAGACCACGTGACGAAATCAGACCACGTGACGAAATTAGACCACGCGATGAGGTTAGACCCAGGGATGAAATAAGACCACGTGATGAAATCAGACCCAGAGACGAAGTCTCTCGCCCTGAAAGACGACCTTACAGAGAAGACGTAGAAAAGCCTAGACCATCCAGGCCAAGAGAAGACAGGTTCTCAGAAGGTAGAAGGTACAGAGGAGACTCCCCTTTTAAATCTAGAGACGACAGGCCATATGGTAAATCTGATCTCAACCAAAGATCGTATGATGACAGGAATCAAGATGATAGAAGGGATGCTCCTTCAGCCCCTGAAGCCCCGGCCACAGCTCCAGCTTTAGTTAAACCAAACGGTCATGGTCTTTTCAGTCAGCCCAGGATGCCACCAAAAATCAAAAGACCAGTACCATTAAATGAAAGAGAAAAATACGATTACGTTCCAGTTGCCACCACAAAACCTCCTCCGAAACTAGACGACGATGAATACTATGATTACGAGGAAGACGACACTAGTAGACCCTCGTCTTCTGGAAAGACCAGCACCATACAACAAAGACCAAAGTTGGAGCCGGTAGAGAAGGAAAGGTTTAAGCCTACGAGACCACATTATGCGAATAAAGGTAGAAAAACTAAAAGACCGATAGACTATGAAGAAGAACTTTACGATGAGCCGGTAAAAGCACAAAAGTATACATACAACCAGAGGCCTAAAGAGGAAAAAGTTAAACCTAAACCGGCACCAGTCGATGATGAGTACTATGATTATGAAGAGGAGAAAAGAGAGCGAGACAGAATAAGACCAGGAGAAGACATTACAAGCAAAATAAAAGACTTGCGACCAAACGTAAAAGTAGTTAAGCGTCCTTTTTTACCCTCTAGGGGTGGAAGCCCGTACCTTCCGCGCGGATTACAACCCGTCGCCGGGAGGGATGTCACAGCACCACTAAATACCACCCCGAAACCTACCACCACTTCTCCTAAACCTACGACTACGCCTGCACCTACTACTACCACTTCCCCTACAACCACTTCAACTACGCCTAGCACCACTATCACAACAACCACAACTACGGAAAAACCGACGACAACCTTTACAACTGAGAAAGCAACTACAACTGTTACCTCAGAAAAAACCACTACAGAAGAATACGAAGAAGAATACTACGACGAAGAAGATGTAGACTACGATAAGAACAAAGAAACAACAACAGTTGTTATAACAACCCCAAAAACAACGCCTAAAACTACTACAGAAACACCTTTAACTCCAGACCCAATAAACGCTGAGCAGAAAGCTAAAAAACTCGCTTCCAAAGTTTTGAAAGTATACAACGATAATTACGAAGCAATCAGAGGTAAATTAGAATCTACACTAGCACCCGGTGATTACATAAAGCCCTATTTAGCAACAGCCACACCTCCCGAAAACCCTTACAAACCTCTAGAAACTTACAAAAAAGAAATTAAACCTGATATATCTAAGCCGTACACGGCGACTGGAAAGCCTTTGCTGCCAGAAAATATTTCAATAAAACAGAATCTAGCTGATAGCATAGAAAATGATTATGATGTAAGATTAAACGAGGCTCTGACACCAACTCTACCAGTCAACCGAATCCCATCAGGATTTGTCATACCGTCGGATAGAGACTACACATTCTCTAGATTCAGAAATAATGTACAACCAATAGATCCCCAATACGCAGCGTCAGATGTCAGCAGTTTCCAAGTCAGGAAAAGACCAGTGTCTGGCGTTAGTATAAGAACGCCGTCTTCTTATTATCTGCAGCCTCAAAGACTGGTCTACCAAGAAGACCCGTCTCATAGGTATCCTAGGCAGCTGTATTATAGACCAGTAGATTTTTATTAGACTAATTATGTTTTATGAAAACTTGTAGGGTAGTTAATTAAGAGGTGAGCGACATTTTTTAATTAAAAAGAATGTATACCTTATGTTTTCAAAATTGTAAATACGGATTTGTAAGGTAATAAAAAACGAAGGCTGTTTTGTTTGGTATTCAGGTTGGTTAGTATAATCTTGGGAGTTAATAAAATATTATAATTGTAAATGCAAAGAACTCGATTTAGTTAGACTTCGCTCGAAGCTAACCTATAAAAAAGCATGCAAGCCTTTTATTTATATTTATGTATATATTGAAATCTTTTTTTCTTCAGACATTTGTATATTGACTGGTAAACCTCTAAAATGGTACTTATTTTGTACTAGCTTTTATATAAAAACTATCCTATGTCCTTTCTCGAGTTCCAAACTATGTCTGTACCAAATTACACAGAAATCGGTTCAGTAGTTTAGGCGTGAAGAAAAGACAGACAGACACAGTTACTTTCGCATTTATAATATTATTTTGGATTTTTATAACTTAAGTTACCTCTGTGTATATATTTTTGTATTTTTTTATACTTAAAGAGCGTCTACGAATGATCTCTAATAAAAAAAATTAATCAACATATGATGACTTTGTAAACGTAATACCTACAGCAAAAAACAATTGAAAAAATTTGTCGATACCAATATACATAAATGTTTATACCCTACAAGTTTTCGTATGCAAAAGTACATATAAACTTTTTTAAGTCAAAATAACTAAATTATCAATTGAGGAACAACGACAATTCTATTTCTTTATACCTTCGATCAATTTGTTTATCTAGATGGAGTATATCAACACTTTTTTTTTGTCAGGGAAAATCATTTAATTACTTCTCCCGCACAGGGCCGGGCGGGAGGGACTGTCAGACTCTTACTGACTAAAAACCCACCTGTTCCTTCTCCTGCTCTGGGCCGAAGTCGCGGTGCCTCATTGCGCTTACCCCGCAACCCCGTCTGAACATCAGCCCTATTAGGCCCAGTCTGTGGTGGTCTATTGGCTCTTTGAGAATTAAGTATACATATACAATGAAAATTTTAATATTCTCAATGGAAAGTAGTAACTGTAGCTTCTGTATAGCTCTGTAATATCAATAGTATTGTGAGCGTTGTCAACCATATAATTCTAATATTTTTTTGTAAATCCATCTAGATATATAAATGTTCGAATTTGGATACTCTAAACACTGCCAATTCTATATAAATTATAGTAATTAAAAACGTATTAAAATACTCTTAGTTACCTATACTTTTTAAGAAAACGAAAGAATGTTTTTGTGATCGTCAAAAAAAAACAACAAAAAAATGAAGAAAATTCATTACTAAGTCAGTAAAAAATATATTAGGATTTTCGATGAAGAAATTCTGTTGTGTCTGGCCTGGCAATAGTTCTATTGAGTCTGGCGTTGTTTTGCTGGTTAATAATGAGTGGTTTTTTTGTCCAGATCACAAAAACAATCGCATACCATTTTGTACATTTTATAAATACCAACTTTTTAAAAAAAAAAAAACTTTGTACACAATTGAATAGATTTAAGGAAAACTTTTCCTGTAATAAAAAAAACTGTGTAAATTTTTAAATCTTTTTGTGTTTTATTTTATTTATATTTTCAAAAAAGCACGGGTTCTGTTGATACTAGATTTTTTGCATTTTAATAAATGTTTCCTCACACTAAGATTTTCTATTGTGTCATGGGTGCATTTACAAACATACAAATTCACATACACAATCCACTCAGACCTGAGACAACAATTTGTGATCACACCAAGTGTTGCTCCGAGCGAGAATCGTACTTGCGACACGTTGCACAGCAGTCAGTTGCCTAGCTACTGCGCCAAGCGTGCAGTCAAGTCATTGCACTTTTAACCTTTATATAAACTGCATCAAAATCTGTTGCGTAGCTTTAAAGATTTAAGCATAGGTCGGGATAAAGGGTTGGGTGGCCCGGAAGTAAAGGAGCCCCGCTTCTCATGCATGAGGGTGTGTTTTCGAAACCAGGCAAGTACCAATGTAACTTTTTCCGAGTTATATGTACTTTCTATGATTATTTAGACACCACTGACATAAGGTGCATGTAAACATCGTGAGGAAACCTGGAATCATAATTTCTAATTATAAGTTTGAAATCGCCAACCCGCATTGAGCAAGCGTGGTGATTAATGCTCTAACCTTCTCCGTGTGAGAAGAGGCCTTTGCTCAGCAGTAGGCACTTAAAGGCTGATGATGATGATGAAAGGGACAGAGAAATCAACTTTATTTTATAATAGGTCTCTAAGTAGACGAAAATCATGTCGAAGAGGTCGCCAGAAGAATTCAACTCGGATGGGCGGCGTTCGGCGTTCGACACGATGTCTTCTCATCAAAAATCTCACAGTGCCTTAAGACCAGGATGTTTAATCGATGCGTGTTGCCAGTGGCGTATAGTGCTAAGATGTGATCCCTAACTTCTGGCCTTTTAAAAAGACTCAGAGTCCCTCAGCGCCTTGAAGAACGGACCATGATCGGGGTCTCTTTGTGCGACAAAATCCGAAACGTAGAAATTCGCCAAAGAACCAAATGTATCTAAAAAAAGGCCATACTATCTTACCAGTTGGAATTTCGTAAGTATGCAATTAATTTTAGGTACTTATTACTAGATTTTAATTATTCCGAAATGTGAAAATTCGCCAAAGAACCAAAGTTAGCCACATAGCTCGTAAAATCTGCAGGCCAAAGTGGCAAGCCACGTCGCTCGAAGGACGGACGGCCGATGGGCCTGAAAAAACTCGACGGGTGACTACAGATCAAAAAACCACGTCACAAAATAACATCGTCAGGCTCGCGGGGAGCCAATCGATGAAGGTGGCAAGTTGTTGTTTACGTTGAGGTCTAAGGAGGAGGCCTTTCTTACAGTTTTATCTGGCTGATGATGATGATGTAAGTAGTAGTAGATTTTTCATTTCGAAATTTTTTAGAAACACGAAGTATTGATTTCCAGAAGTATAGATACAACGTCTGTTACTGTAGAATATTAGGGAGAATTGCAAACATTTTTTGTTGTACTTTTTTACACTAGACTTGGAACAACAACTTGTAGATCACAAACAGTAGTTAGGTCCAGGAATCGAAACCGTGACACGTTGCGCGGCAGCCAGTTACCCAACCACCGCGCCGACCGAGCAGAAATATAAATTAAACAACGTAAAAATTAATATTTCACTATATTTGATTACTTATCTTACTAAAATATATCTCTTACAAAAATTCTTAAAAAAAAATAATTGCTTGAATGGACGGTTTCAATCTTAAAAAAAACAAATACCAGTCGCTTGTAAAGATTGAAATCGTCTTAAACATGTTTATTTATCGACACTAGAAATCCTTGAAAATTTACCCTTTGAAAGTCTGTTACATTCATTTTTCCTTGGTTTTAATGTAGGTATATAAAATCTAAGGAATAAAATTGTGGCTGTCACTGTCTTATACAAACATTCTGACGCGACAGCATCATAATTATTTCACAGATAACTTTTATCTAACCATTGGAAAATGAGCCCTTAAAGTTTTAAATTTATTAAACTATCTAAAGGTTTTCCAGTATCGTTTTAAAAAAAAAATCTTACCTTATTTTATAAAAATACAAAATTTTATTTATTTACTTACTCTACGAACTTAATAAAATACATAAAATTTGCTATAAATGTCATGTTTCTATACTCTAATAAAATATTTTTTCATAATATATGTGTATAATTAAGCAATAAAAATAATTGAGAATTTGCACATTTTAATATTTCTTTATATTGTTGCAAGGCGAAAGTTTATGAGAAATGTTCGATATTCGTTACTCCTTTATGCAAAACTACCGTATTAATTACGATGAAATTTTACACATGGATAGACCATAATTTATGTCTTGTTCATTCTTTAAAAATACAATGCATCTATTCAATATAAAATTTTGTTTTAACATTTTGTTAAACAGAGATTATTGTGATGATAAATAATTATGCAATTGATAAGAAAACTCTACGGTCTTAATATTACATAGATTAAAAAAAATTAAGTATTTAATTTTTACACAATTTGGAATGAAAGTAATAGTCGGATATATCTACTAGCATAAACCGATCCTATCCATGAAAACAATCCGTCTCATTATAAAAATGATTAACTGAGATTTGCCATTCGCGAACCAACCGACCCTTTTTAGGAAAAAAGAACTTATATTTCTCTATTTTACACCAAACTCTGAAACCTGGTAAATAGATGCTGATCAAGGTGGGCGAAGCTATTCAAAATCCGTATTCTAAAACCATAACCTAAAAAAACCTATTCAGAAACTAGAATTTTCGATTTGGCTTTTCGGTCTCTGTTTTAGCCAAGAGTCTGGCACGCCAGACGATGGTTCTTCATAACCACCATTCTGCACGCCAGACTTTGGTTCTTGGGTTACATTCTTTTGTGTATCCGACTCCTCTCGATGGAATACCCTGTTGATGGGGAACTGGATGTAGTAGAAGACGAATGTGGATCCCCAGATCAGGAGTTGGTACAGACAGACTTGCCACCAGGTCATGATGCCGAAGACTCCGTACAACCAGCGGTGGGAGAAGAAGTATATTGAATAGTATCTGTAATTATAAATTGGTCAGTGTTAGTTCATTGGATTCCTGTGAAAATTGGACCAAGACTGCCTCCATTAGATACAACCATGAAAACACCGGAACACTGAAATCTGACGCATCCCAGGGACATGAATGACCGTCTTGGATCCCGCAACGAAATAAATCGGAAGATATTTTTGAGGAGGAAAAAATGAATAGTTGTAAATTCCTTCAATTTTTCTACAAAAAACTTTCCTATTTTACTTTGCAAAAAGTCAAGTCAAAAATCATTTATTTCAATTAGACCCTTACAGGCACTTTTGTAAGGCAAACAAAATTTTGAAGATATAGTGTCAGTCTGTCGGTCAGTCCTCTTAGTGAAACTATTCGCTCGTTCCAAAGTGTAGATTCCGATGGAGAAGAACGAGTAAGAAACTCCATGGTTACTCTTTTTCAATCAGTTTCACATACAATAAAAAAAAAATATTCCAACTAAACCATGCACAGGTACTTATGAAATATCAAAATAGAATACCTAATAGTCTGTCAGTATGTTCGTTAGTGAAGCTAGGACAACAAACTAGATTAAAGAAATAAGAAATACTATATAATAACATAGTTAGGTTAGTTACTAGCTAAGGACAGACAAAAAAAATCCTTGCGAGAGTCAAACCGTCGAATCGAAAGTCAATATTTTTTCCCATTCTATTCTTCTACTCTCTCTCTCTCTCTCTCTCTCTTTGGGGAATAAAAGACATTATAAATGCTTTGTGAAACAACCACAGTGTTGTGTTTTGCCGTGTAAGTAAGATTCCCGGAGGCCCAATCCTTCCTCTCCCCAATGCCTAAATCTTCAAAACCCTAATCCCTAACAGGTCGACAATGCACTCATAGGTCCTCTGTTGTTGCGGATGTCCATGGGCCGCGGTGATTGCTTACCATCAGTTATTCCGTCACTCGTTTGCCGACCTAACACACGAAATGATATTTTTATTTTGCATGTTTACGTTTAAATGTAATGTCAATTTGATTTTAGTCATATTCTGTTTTAATGATATCTTAATTATAATTTCAACTTTAATAATTTGTTATTAATATTACAATACAATGTTATTATTTCTTACATGATGAAGTCTCCGATAATTATATATATAATATAAGAGCACAGACATTTTAAATTTGTATTAATTTACTTTTATATTGTGCATGTAATTTGAGCTCTATGATGGAGATCCTAAATAAAAACAGATACTTACACAATAGCATAAATGACTCCAGCGCCACCTGTCAGCGATAGCTCCAACTTGTAATGGGTAGGGTGTCTTCTGGCTAGCAGCAGCGTCTCAATCAACACCACTACAGCAATGTTGGTGTGGACACAGTGGTTGAACCACCATGGAACCAGTTGGTCGTATACTTGGGGAAAGACCAGCTCTCGGTCTATCCAATATACGGTCCAGAACATCGATGATATGAACTGGAAAGTTGAGAAAAATATTTTATTTATATATTTATTTTTCACTTCATGCACAAAAAAATCGTATATTAGGCAGACTTCAGGCAATGAACATTCTCGTCTCATCTACCTTAGGGTGATGCAGAGACAATCCAGTATCAAGAGGTTTTCTTTTTTGTGAGGGGAAAATCATCAAATAACTTCTCCCGCCCAGGGCCGGGCGGGAGGGAGTGTCAGACTCTTACTGACTAAAAACCCACCTGTTCCTGCTCTGGACCGAGGTCGCGGTGCCTCATTGCGCTTACCCCGCAACCCCGACTGAGTTTCCAGTGGTGGATGCAAGAAGTAAGCTACGTTTACGTGCCTATTGTAACAATACCATAAACCCACATAAACATAATATATAAAATACACAGAACTATACTAATATATGTCGTGTTGTGTGTGTTAGGACGTGGTGGCCCGGAGGTTAAGGAGCCCGCTTCTGATGAATGAGGGTCTGAGTTCGAAACCACGGCAAGTATCAATGTGACTTTTTCCGAGTTATATGTATGTACTTTCTATGATTATTTAGACTGACACACCACTGACATACGGTGAAGGTAAACATCGTGAGGAAACCTGGACTTAGGTATCATTTCTAATTATAAGTTTGAAATCACCAACCCGCATTGAGCAAGCATGGTGATTAATGCTCAAGCCTTCTCCGTTTGAGAAGAGGCCTTTGCTCAGCAGTGGGCACTTATAGTCTGATGCTGATGATACTAATATATGTATTTGCATAGATATATATACATGTATATATGGTGTATATATTTTATGTTTAACTGTAACTACAATCACAAAAGTCTTACAAAAATGTTATTACAATCTTTTGAAGAGGTTGTGTGTTAAGGGTTCCAAGTATACATGTTCAAGGTCACACTGAAAACCTTCATTACATTACATAACTATTGTAACTAAAATTTTACAAAAATCCTTTCATTAGAACTCACCAGTGTCAACGGCACCACAAGACCACAAAACATGACATCCCTGACGAACTTCAGCTTCCTGCCCAGGCTGGAGTCGTGTTTGTCCAGCCATTCCATCAGGTCATACACCAGCGACAGCGTCAGGAATATCGTTTGGAACAGCTGTGGGAAAGAGATAGAATATAAGATTTCATGATTAATGCATAACGTCAGCTTTTGCTGTACGCAACCCTTTTTTTAGGAGGGGCAGCGGAACCGTCGCCCAGGGTGAGGCGAGAGGGAGTGTCAGACTCTTACTGACTAAAAACCATCCCATGAACATCGGCCGTATTGGGCCCCGTCTGCAGTTGTCTAATGGCTCTTTGATATGAACACTACGCGGCGTACGCTTAGGTCTGATTCTCATCAGATCCGTAGACCCGCGCTTACCGGAGCGGCCGGAGATCAATACTCGATGCTCGTTGCCCGAAGTGTCTCCGACGGCTGAGGCTTGATGTATACCACCACCCTTTCTCACAGCAGAAGTAAAACCAAGGAGGTTTTAAAAAAAACTGCACAACTTGTTTCTACCTGGTATTTTCCATCGTTTGTTCGTCGTTTTCCCGTCATTCAACTTTCGACAAGACAATCGGTAAAAAGTCACAGCAGAACGGCTAAAGAGTAGCATTTTTTGCCAGAGTCTGTTTTACCCGCAGGGTGTCTTCCTTGACCCGAGTTCTTCAAGGCTAAGAAAATTGTTGGCCTTATGGGTAAGTAAAGGAGCTTAAAATGGGACAGTGTTAATATCGGTGCCTATGAGTATTACCGATTGGTGATTAGGATGAAATTTGAGATTGGAGACTGGCCTCCGACAACCTCAGCCATACGGCGAAACACGACTTATTTCTGCTAACTTTCTACTTTTAGCATAACCTCTACCGACCCCCCCTGAAAAATGAGACCGTGAAGTCCCAATCAGACGATAAGACAGTCATTAGACATTCCTTCATAATGAAACTATATTAATTGATCTGTTTAATTAATAAAGGTGACGCCAGGTCAAATGATGTCTGCCTGTTATCTCCCAGACAAAGTTCAAGTAGCCAGACTCCAGTCATAATTGCCAGACGTGATAACTTTAGGTTTTTGTTGGGACATGCGTTGAAAAATTTATATCGGGGCTCGTGGCTTAAGAACCGAGGTTAAGAACCCTGGGAAATACTGATCTGACCTTTTCCAAGTTACATGTACTTTAAAAGATTATCAAGACACTACAGCCATAAGCAATGCTGATGCAAAATCTCTTTACAGAATTACTTATTATGTTTTCTTATTATTATGGCTTACTCACGCAATAATTTGACGAGATACTCGACTAGTTTCGAGCCATGCTAGAGGCCCATATTCATGAGCAGCATTCCGCGACACGCGACAGTCGTAGCGTCGCGTGTCGTGACCGTCTAGCGTGGCTTGAAACTAGTCGAGTATCTCGTCAAATTATTACGTGAGTAAGCCGAATAAAAAATATTATACAGAATATTCTCTTCAATTAATCTATCTAGTTAAACAGGCTTAAAGCGTATCAGGCTACGCTCAGTGTAGAGTTCCGTGTTTCCCGTCTGTCACAATATGTGCTCCCACTTAGGAGTTATTGTAAATCTTAACACCGGAATTCAGCGTTAGTGGCTGTAATACAACGCCATCTCTTAGGGAATTGGGTTACTAATTTGTACTAATTAGACGGGTGATGTACTTATGTTAAGGTTTTGGTGGTAATTTTGAATTGTCAAATTCGAATTTAATAATTCTTTATTATTGAAAAGAAAAAACGTTCAGAGTAATAAAACCTTTATAACAAATTAAAAAAAAATGCTAAAGAAGGTTAAGTTATAAAATGAGTTGTGTGTTTTTTTGTGCACTATTTCATAAACTGTTGAAACCATCGTGTCTTTATTATGGTATAGGGCGGCAAAGGATTTCCTGGTGGTAAGCAATTTGCGCCGCCCATGGACATCCGCAACACCAAAGGTGAACAACACCGCAGCAACATTAATGCTTTGCCGTCTATTTAGGGAGATAAGGGTTCATCATCATCATCATCAGCCTATAAGTGCCCACTGCTGAGCAAAGGCCTCTTCTCACACGGAGAAGGTTTGAGCATTAATCACCACGCTTGCTCAATGCGGGTTGGCGATTTCAAACTTATAATTAGAAATTATAAGTCCAGGTTTCCTCACGATGTTTACCTTCACCGTATGTCAGTGGTGTCTAAATAATCATAGAAAGTACATGTAACTCGGAAAAGTCACATTGGTACTTGCCAGGTTGCGAACCCACACCGTAATGCATGAGAAGCGGGCTCTCCACCTCCGGGCCACCACGACCGAAGGGTTTCGGATATTTATTTAATGGGGAGGAAAGTGCTAACACAGACTAGGTAACATGATATAGAATAACACCCGGTTTCCGAAAGGCCGATCGATGTTAAAATCAATTTAATCTCTTGTCAAGTCATCTGATTGGTTGACTGAATTATCAACAACCAATCAGATGACTTGACAAGAGATTTAACAGGAGACTAGTTAATTTTAGCGTTGACAAGCCTTTCAGAAACCTGGTGTGAGTGTTTCTAGTTTACTACGGAACCCTAAAACATCACATCAAACTCCTTTGCCTAATTTCAAAAATTTAAGCATACATAGGGATATAGGGACAGAGAAAGCGACTTTGTTTTATACTATGTGGTGATATCCGCTCCGGTACCCGCTTGCAGTGGGACCTTATCAAAATAAGGGCACCCAAGATAACTTGACAAAATATTATATCCGGACTGATATGGCCGAAATTAGGGACAGACACGTGACTAAACTTTGGACGTCCATAGATAAAGGACAATGCAACGCGCAACTTATCATTCGAGTTTTTTTTTAATAGGTCGACCTGTAACGATGAACTGTTGTATATATTTTATGGCTTATGACAACACACTTAAGTGTGGGAGAGTTATGATTCGGCACGAATAGGTCGGCTCAATCGGAGTGATACCACGGCCTTGCAGAAAACCAACGTGTAATAAGCACAAAGTTCTTTTTTTTTTTTTTTTGAGAAAAGCCCGCCACAACCTCGCAAAACTGCTGCAACTCCTGTAAGCCAGGATCTACAATATCCACGAAAACACCGGAACACTGAAGTCCGTTAACGTTAGGTTTTTGTTGGGACATGCGTTGAAAAATTTACATCGGGGCTTGTGGCTCTGAGGTTAAGAACCCTTTTTTTTTTGGTATCGGGTTGGAAAATCCTCATGGAGACCCATCACCCTCGGGGAAGGGCGAAGGGTACTGTCAGACTCATACTGACTAAAAACCAACCCGGTGTTCCTCCACTTGGGAAATACTAATCTGACCTTTTCCAAGTTACATGTACTTTAAAAGATTATCAAGACACTACAGCCATAAGCAATGCTGATGCAAAATCTCTTTACAGAATTACTTATTATGTTTTCGGCTTACTCACGTAATAATTTGACGAGATACTCGACTAGTTTCGAGCCATGCTAGAGGCCCATATTCATGAGCAGCATTCCGCGACACGCGACAGTCGTAGCGTCGCGTGTCGTGACCGTCTAGCGTGGCTTGAAACTAGTCGAGTATCTCGTCAAATTATTACGTGAGTAAGCCGAATAAAAAATATTATACAGAATATTCTCTTCAATTAATCTATCTAGTTAAACAGGCTTAAAGCGTATCAGGCTACGCTCAGTGTAGAGTTCCGTGTTTCCCGTCTGTCACAATATGTGCTCCCACTTAGGAGTTATTGTAAATCTTAACACCGGAATTCAGCGTAAGTAGTTGCAATACAGCGCCATCTCTTAGGGAATTGGGTTACTAATTTGTACTAATTAGACGGGTGATGTACTTATGTTAAGGTTTTGGTGGCAATTTTGGTTTGCGTAATTCGATTTTAATAATTCTTTATTATATAAAAGAAATAACGTTCAGAGTAATAAAACATTTATAACAAATTTAAAAAATGCTAAAGATGGTTAAATTAGAAAATGAGTTGTGTGTTTTTTGTCCAATATTACATAAAATGTTGAAGCCATCGTGTTTTTTTATTGTATAGAACGGCAAATGCCCATGTACACCCGCAACACCAAAGCAGTTAAGAGTGCGTTGTTGGCCTTTTAATAAGGTTTTCGGAAATATAATGATTGCGTAGGGATGGGGGAAGGGGGAGGAAAGTGTTAACACAGACCGACAAGGCGAAACAATAAGTGTTCCTAGTTTACTACGGAACCCTAAAAACCACACATCAAAATCCGTTGCCTAATTTCAAAGATTTAAGCATACATAAGGATATAGGGACAGAGAAAGCGACTTTGTTTTATACTGTGTAGCGATATCCGCTCCGCTCCCCGCTTGCAGTGGGACCTTATCAAAATAAGGGCACACAAGATAACTTGTCAAAATATTATATCCGGACTGATATGGCCGAAATTAGGGACAGACACGTGACTAAACTTTGGACGTCCATAGATAAAGGACAATGCAACGCGCAACTTATCATTCGCGTTTTTTTTTTAATAGGTCGACCTGTAATGATGAACTGTTGTATATATTTTATGGCTTATATCAGCAAACTTAAGTGTGGGAGAGCCATGATTCGGCACGAATGGGTCGGCTCGACCGGAGTGATACAACGGCCTTACAGAAAACCAACGTGTAATAAGCACAAAGTTCTTTTTTTTTTTTGTTTGAGAAAAGCCCGCCACAACCTCGCAAAACTGCTGCAACTCCTGTAAGCCAGGATCTACAATATCCACGAAAACACCGGAACACTGAAGTCCGGCGCGTCCCATGGACATGAATGACTATCTTGGATCCCGCAGCGAAATAAATCAGAAAATATTATTTGAGGAGGAGAAAAACTACACCTAAAAACTACATTGTTAATATCGGCATTTGAGTGAGGATACCAGATGCCCTATGCCCTTAACCCCAACCATTCCTAAATCCACTAATCCTAAAACAGTAACGTTAAGTCGGCAGATGGCACGGATTTGTTTAACACAGATGATCAGTAAAAAAGTCAAATTATTTATTTCAATTTGACCACATTAGGTATTTTTGAAGGTCAAACAACTTTGTAGTTTTTTCATTTTGAATATCATACGGCTTTGGAAATCCCGAAACTCTGTAAATAGCACCTAGCTTCACTGACGAACAGACTGACAGACTACTATTCTATTTTGACGTTTCAAAAGTACCTATTTATGGTTTAGTTGGAATAAATGATTTTGACTTTGACTTTGATAGATTAATAAATAATCATTAATCTATACTTCTATTACAAATTTATATTGTATTAGCTTTTGCCCGCGACTTTGTTCGCGTGGAACAGTGACTTACTGCAGATTTTTGGTTTAAAAACTATCCTATGTCCTTTCTCAAATGTCAAACTATGTCTGTACCAAATTTGACACAAATAGGTTCAGTAGTTTAGGCGTGAAGAAAAGACAGACAGACAGAGTTACTTTCGCATTTATAATATTAGTTTGGATAGTTTAAAATGTATGTATATAATTAGATTGCAATTATCGATTAAAATTGATCTGTTTATTTCATTAATTAACATATGGATTCATTATTTAAGTGCACTAATTAAAACTACTTAATTTATATTAATAACAACAGCAGAAATCGATAAACTTATAAATGTAACAAAATAATAAACTTATTTTGAAATGGGAAATCATCGAATGACCTCTCCTCTTGGGTGGGAGAGAGTGTCAGACTCTTACTGACTAAAAACCCCCGTTCCTTCTTATGCTTTAGGTCGAGGCTGCGGTACATAAGTGGGCTTGCCCCGCGACCCCGGCTGAATCAAATTAATTAGCCTCACTTAAGTTGTGTTGATAATGCGCTGTTATAATAATATTATGTGTATGTTTTTTTATGAGAAAGATCTATAAAGAAGTAGACGGATGACCTGATGGTAAGCAAAGAGCGCCGCCCATGGACACCCGCAACACCAGGGGCCCGAGTCTACTATTTTCAAAGTGTTGTCATTCCTACACGATTCCATTGTCATTTTGCTAAAAGTTCGTAATCCGTTAATTCAAAATGGCTGATCATTGGCGTTTGGCAATGTCGTAATAGAATTATAGTACAAGATGTCTTGTAAAGAATTATAAACAATAACTGCACAGTGCACATTAATATTCTAAACGTAAATCATTGAATAAAGGAACTCTCATTTTTTTATTAATTTACCGCATTTTGTCAAATATTCATTTGTCATTATGTACGAGATTACCGTTCTAAAGAATTATTTCAATAAAATGGCACTAGAAAGTCATAATGACGCTATCGTGTTAGTAGATTACCAAACTTGTCAAAATCAACAATTTTGAAAACAATGATCTACTATTCTGACACTATTGTAATAGCAGACTTGAGGCCCAGAGAAGTTGCGAGTGTGAGCCTTAGTGTTTTGGATATTTAGGATTTGGGAGAGGGTAAGAAGGATTGGGTCTCCATTTAATCTCAACATTATCAATTATAAGTTTAACAAGCGCGTTGTAGTTTGTGAGGGATATGAGGATTGGGGATAGGGGATTAAAAGGGAAAGGAAAATGATTGGGCCTCCGGTAACCTCACTCACACGGCGAAACACAACGCTATATTTAACTCACGTTGTTTTTCAGCGAGGCCGTGGCATAACTCCGGTCGAGTCGACCCATTTGTAATAAATATCTAGTTACAGTCACCCGTATATTTATAATGAATGATAATGTATCTTACTGTAGCATCAGCAGTGTGATTCTGTAAGACTACATTCTAAACTTCGAATCTGAATCCGCTGTGAGTAGTAGTACACTAGCGCTACACTTGCGAGTTGAACTAAATTGACAGCTACATTTTGATAGATAAAGCATGAAATGACGTTAAAAGTGACACGATTCAAAATCAAACAAATTTTATAGAATTTGATTTTGAATCGTGTTCGAGTGCGAAGTGAGCGTCGAAGTGACGGGGAAATTAAATTTTAGAATGCTACTTTTAACGTCATCTCATACTTTATCTATCAAAATGTTGCGGTCAATTTAGTTCAACTCGCAAGTGTAGCGCTAGTGTACTACTACTCACAGCGGATTTAGATTCGAAGTTTAGAATGAAGTCTTACAGAATCACACTGCTGGACTAAGTATATGGCCTGTATTTCCGCATACAGTTCCTTTATGATAAGCGTCTTTTTCAACAAAATATTACACGGGTAACTTTTAGAAGTGAAAAGATATCTATACTCCATCTACACTTATATTATAAATGCGAAACTCTGTCTGTCTCTCTGTCTGTTTTTTCTTCACGCCTAAACTATTTAACCGATTTCAGTGAAATTTGTTGCAGACATAGTTTGGAACTCGAGAAAGGACATAGGATAGTTTTTAAACCAAAAATCTGGTGGAAGTCACTATTCCACCACGCGAACGGATTCGCGGGCAAAAGCTACTTAAAAATCCAAACTAATATTATTAATGCGAAAGTAGCTCTGTCTGTCTGTCTTTTCTTCACGCCTAAACTACTGAACCGATTACTGTGAAATTTGGTACAGACATAGTTTGAAACTCGAGAAAGGACATAGGATAGTTTTTATCTCGAAAATCATGGGGTTTCGGGAACTTCTCAAAACTCCCGCGAGATCGGCAACTATGTAGTTAAAACCAAAAATCTGATGGAAGACACTATCCCACGAGAACGAACTCGCGAGCAAAAGCTTGTAAAAAAAATATGTATTACTAAGAGTAAAACTAATATACTATCTAACGTGTTTAAGATAGCGTGTTATGTGTAATCACCGATATTATAACTTAATCAATGTATATAATGAACCTTATATAATATGTTATATGTCATTTCTCCATTACGTAGTTACATATTCCAATGATCACGCGATACGTGACTCCAATGTGACTCGTGATTGTACCATGCGCACACGCAGCCAACGACGTGCGATCTACTAAACTTTGAATTAAATCTACGTACTTAGATTTATACTATAACAAACTTTTGCCCGCGACTCCGTTCGCGTGGAATAGTTACTTCCTGCGGATTTTTGGTATAAAAACTATCCTATGTCCTTCCTTTCTTGTCGAGTTACAAACTATGTGTGTACCAAATTTCGCAGAAATAGATTTTTTTTTTTTTTTTTTATGTAATATCTCGGCAAACGAGCAGACGGATTACCTGATGGTAAGCAATCAGCGCCGCCCATGGACACCCGCAATGGAGGAGTTACGAGTGCGTTGCCGACCTTTTAGGGATTAGGGATTTGGAGATTTAGGGATTTGGAGATTTAGGGATTGAGAAGGGGTTGGGGAAGGGGAAGGATTGGGCCTCCGGTAACCTCACAAACAACCTCACGTTTGCCGACAAATTAAATAAAAAAAAAATACCCCCTACATACAAACTTACAAACATACAAACTTACAAATTTTACCTCTTTAGTGCCTATAGAAAAAGAAATTGCACGTGACTCTGTAACAACTTTAACAACGTGGGCAAAGCCATGGCTAAAACTAGTATGTATGTACTTGGTACAAGTAGATATATCAAATCCACGTGTAGTTTATTATATAGATAAAATATTTGTCTGTTTCGAAATGTATTTATAAGAAGTAATTATGAAAGAGATAATTGACAATGTGTAGTTGAAATTAAACTTTGTACCTAATATTAAGACTTATCAGTGGAATGAATAAATAATCTAATTCTTTATGTTAGGTTATGGGTTCAATCCATCTTTATATATAATAAAATAAAATATTAATACATTAAAAATAAAAAAACTGTCACAAAAAACCTTTGAAAAATATATAATACAAAAAAAAACTAAATTGAAATCGGTTCATTCGTTCAGGAGCTATGATGCCACAGACAGACAAACAAACAAGTCAAACTTATAAAACCCCTCTTTTTGCGTCGGGGGTTGAAAATGAATGGTAAAATGTATTGTGTTGGTGAGCGCTTAACATGGTAACACCTAAACCAATTTTAATAATTCATTTTTTTGTTACTATCAGGAGAAGGTTCTTATGCGGAAGTAAAGAGACCTGAGCTCTTAATTGAAAATATTAGACCTTCATTTTTGAGAACGATACATCTTAAAAATAAATACATATTACCAAAATTCAACAATGTGTACGGGATGAGGGTTGATGACTACTTGTTACCTTACTTTTTAAATAAACTCCCAGAAGAATTACAAACCTTGTACGTGAATGGTTCGAAAAGTTACACGTTTAAATCAAAGCGTTTCCTGACTCAACATCATCTGTAAATTGATTTGAATTGTACATATTTAACGGCTCGCCTGCACACAGATAAACCCAGAGAGGTTTTCGTTGTGGGGCCAGACTTAATGTAAGAATAATGTAAGCATTTTAGAAATAAATCAATAAAATATCAAAAAATATATTTAAGAAGTAGGGAGGAGAACTAGGAACCCTTTCGTCGTTAGCGAGATAGTTGGAGACCCGTGCGAACCAGGGGTGAGCTGCTAGTTCTGTATATTAAATTGCGATAATACAGAAAATTACAAGACAGAAATTACAGACTTAAAACACAACACACAACCTCCTAACACCGATCATACCGCACAATCTACCCAACCAAATCCAACTTCTTCCGAAGCTATTGCCTTGTATAAGATTTTCATGCATCAATGAGACTTTCAGATAGTTTTATATTGTAGACTAGCTACTCTCACGCGGTTTTACCCGCTGCGCGTCTCCATTTGATCGTAGTGTGATGTTTTATAGCCTAGCATACAGGAACGTTGTAGCTATCTATCAGTGAAAGAATTTTGGCAATCCGACCAGCGGTTTCAAAGATTACTTCCTACATACAAACTTACAAATTTTTCCTCTTTATAATATTAGTATAGACTAGCTTCCGAACGCGGAAACCGCGCAAGAACTGCTTGTGTAAAAAAAAAGAAAACCTCATGATATCTCAAGACACACAAAAAATCGTAGGTAGAAATCAATCCACTACACAGCATAACACAGAGAAAGGTACTTACAAAATTCCATCCAGTTAAATATCCAGGCTTGTATCTATATAGATTGTCTAGATCTATAATTGGACTGCTCTTTATGTCCAAACTGGCGGCAAAAATTGTTACATAAATATTATGGAACACGCCAATCATGTGGTACACAGTAGTCCAATACAACTTAGCATCACTTCTATCAAACAATTTCTCATTTTCCGTTATCAAAAAACACAGAACATTGTAAAATATATTACTATTTTTCCAAATTAATTCTTCCATTTTAATAGTATAAAGATTTTTACGCCGATAAAATTAAAATAATAATAGATAATATTATTATAACCACCGCTATTTTATGAAAATAATAATTCACGTTATTTAAATTTTATATTTCCACTTTTATTTTTTATTTGTTTTTAGACATGAAATTATTATTTTGTATTTTTATATCACTTATTATAATGAAATAATATTATGTTAGTTTAATAGTAAAAATAATAAAAATTAATATTTAAATTATTATGCTAATAGACGCCCGATTCCCGTGGCGGTTTAGGGCGACTAGCTGACAATTATTTGTTAAAGTAATTAATTGACGGTATCTCTTTATTTGTTTCATAATTACTTATCGCAATCGTAAACATTTTACCCTCAATATTAATATATTTGATGAAGATATTAATTTCTCATTTCTGCCAACGTTTTCTCCTGCCGTTCCAAGGTGCTACCTTACCGTAGCCTTTGTCTTCTTCCAAACTATAATCTATCTCTGTGTTTAATCTCATTATAATCCGTTCAGTAGTTTTTGACGTAAAACTGTAACAAGCATTCGTCCGTGTAACTTTCGCGTTTACCTATATATTTGTAGATGGGATTATTTTTAAACTAAATTTTATTGGTTTTGTAATGAATAGAATATAATAATAAAATGTATTATAAAACCTGTTTATCTTTGTAAGTATAGGCAGTATAGTGAAGAGAGTATAATGTATTTAATTTAGTTTTTTTAAAGGGAGATTTTTCAATGTTTTGTTTTTCTTGGGATGGGCTATTTATTAACATTGAAAGTGTAAAATAATATACTTTAATAGCAAACATTTCCTATTTCATTATCATTTCATATTTCATTTGAAATATAGCGCCTACAAATTTAATACGAGCAAACAATTTTGATTGTTTGTATTTGCTAATATTACTTATAAAAACAATTTATCTTATAAAAAGTTTACTTAGGACTGATTTTTCAATAGTCAGATAAATGTTATCTGAGGAATTAAATTGTTGCTGTCACTGTCTTATATAAACATTCTGATGCGACCGACAGCATCATAATTATTCCACTTATTCCACACAATTTGCCGACCTTTGCTATAAATATAAAGTATATACCTATATAATATGTCATGGTCAATGAACTATGTTTAACAATTGGGTAGTTTCCTAGGTCAAAAATAAATTAATTCGACGTTTCTAAGTTTTAGATATTTTTTAGCTAATTATTAAGTAATAAGTAGATACGCTATTCGACACAAAAATACTATAACATCCATCTCGTCTGTCAGACTTTTATTGACTAAAAACGACCCAGTCTCGTCTCTTGTTCTGGACCGAGGTCGCTTGCCCCGCAACCCCGGCAAAAGTCTCATTGGTACTTGCCAGGTTTCGTCCCCGCACCCTTATGCATGA